AAAGCCTTCTGTGATGGGCAAAACCAACCTACATCCAGTCAGAAGCAGGGAACTTTTCCACAGCTTAAAGCTGAAGCCCAGAGGAAGATTCAAGAAATCAAAAACGAATGGTGGGAAGAGAAGGCGAAAGAAATCCAACAATTTGTTTACAATGACGTGGAACTTCTTCAGTGCAATCACGGCTGTTTATGGACCAAGCTCTTGCGGATTCACCCGTTAGATCTGAAGACGGCAGTACACTCCTCAAAGAAAATAAGTGCATCAAAAACTGCTGGAAGGAGCACTACCAAAAGCTCTTGAACTGAGAATCGACAGTCACTGAAGAAACCATCAATCCATCCTACAGCATCCAGTAAGGGAAGCATGTCTCAGTCCACCAATCTCTGAAGAAGCTGTCCACCAGGTGATAAGACAGATGAAGAACAACAAAGTATCTGCCCTAATGGCATACCAGCTGAGGTCTTCAAAGTTGGTGGGGAAACTATGACCAAACAAGCTCCACACACTGTTTCTCAAAATTTGGAACACTGAAGAAGTTCCCACTGATGTAAGGAATGCCAATATTATCATCATTTGAAAAAAAGGAGATAAATCTGACTGTGGAAACTATCAAGGTATTGCCCTCCTTTCTATTGCTGGGAAGATCCTTGCTTGAATTGTGCTGGCTGGGGCACAAGGGGGCTAAAGGGTGGGGGATGCCTGTTGCCTAGCCATATAGCTCTGCAGGTTCTGCATCCTTATGCCACAGCCAGCCACTCTGCTTCCTGACATCACCTGGAGCCTGGGTTTGACCCCCGCAACCCTGCTCTGTACTGGTTTAAACTGCTGCTGTCCCAGGTGCATGTGTAGATGCTGCGCCCAGGACCAGTTGACTCCGACTCAAACAGCTCCAGAGTTTATTGTATCACATTAATTGAATGTGTAGATGCACCCACAGTGTCGATCAAAGAGACCAACATAGGAGAAAAATTAGTGCTAATTACAGTTACAGTGGTAGTTTTATGGGGCATCTATATATTAGCGTGGAGGCTGCTCCGACACACTGGAATTCTGAGCCGCTCCAATTAAAGTGCCACCCTTCCCCAACCCCCAGAGCATGTGGTAAAAGTGCCCTTGGACACCTGGAAACCAGAGTTCTCCTACGCACTCGGCAAAGGCCAGTTTACAAAGATGAACAGTTACTAGAGGGGGTGGGGAAGGTTTGGTTTCACTGAACTAGACTGACATTTTTTCTTCTCCATGGGTGCATCTACACATTCATTAATGCACTTTTGCTACTGTACATTAAATTTTGTGCTTCTAACGTGAGGTACTAAATAAATGCCCTAATGCACAGTAGCAAAAGTGAACCCTTTATTTTAGTGATGCTAATTTTAGTGTAGCCTAATTTTACTGCTCATTAGCATAGTTTTTGATGTGACGTTCTAATGTGCGGTAAAATACGCTACTGCGCATTAAAGTGCACATGTAGCTGCGCCTCATGACTCTAAAATAGTATAAGATCCTATATCTCACCTTTTCTGGCTTTGTTTGATTTTTTTTAAATCAGTTTTTATTTACCTTGCCAAGTTATAAATGCATTAAAAGTGAGAAGCTGCTCTTTCTAAATTAAAGTGGTATGAATTCATAGCCCCTTCCTAGAGTGACAATTACAGATTGAGATGGCTTGTATTACTAGACATTTACAAATGCCAATCACAAATTTCAGCACAAAATGACTCCAAGAATTCTTTACACAGGTAGCCCTTAGTAATAAATACTCCAGCATTTCTGAGTCCATAGACAGTCAAGCAATACTTCATGTAAAAAAATAAAATTTATTTTTTTTACATGAAGTATTGCTTGACTGTCTATGGACTGGCTGAGGCACAATGATGCTAGTACAGGGGCTGCCTGCTGGCTAACCCCACACTGTAGCACCCTCATGCCCCAGCCAACCCCTCTTCAGCATGTTTAGCTGGGGTTGAGCAGTTCTGGGCTGGCAGGCAGACTCCCCAGGCCCTCTGCCACCTGGGGTCCTGCACAACGTGCTAGTCCCAGGCGCACATGTAAATGCTGAGCCCAGAAGCAATAAACTCTGGTGTTAACTACACTGGAGTTTATTGAGTTGCATTAATAACACATACAGAGGCCCCACTGTGCTAGCTGCCATATAAAATATATATAAAAATATACCCCAATGTTAGCTAGTATTAGCTCAATAGTGCAGCAGACCTAAGAACATTTAAATCAAAGGAATTAAGTTAATGGAATCCATGCCAAAAATAAATTAAATCTCATTTTCAGACTTAGTTTAAGTACAGAAAACTGACATTTTTTCTACTGCGGCATGACATCTGGGTTAGGAGGGAATGCACTTACCAGATTTAGGCACAAGAAGTAGAAGATCTGTCTAGAATCAGACTCCTCCAGGATTTGTTTTAGTGATTCTTTAATAAAGCGTGGTAGAGACTGAGAGCTATGTTGTAACGCATCACCCATAAAATTGTACAGAGGAGTGCCTTCCGGAGAATAGCCAATAAGAGTGCCTTTCTGCCCTTTCCTGGAGGGGGAGGACAGGATATTGGCAGCTGCAAAGAAAGATATTCAGGTTTTGTAGTGGTTTCCAAGCTGGTTTACAGCTGTTTTGGAATGCAAGCATCTTATAAGTAATTGATGTTTCCACAACTGTAGGAATTAGGAAGGCTAAAGCTGTAGGGTATGGGATGTTTTATCATAGAACAAGCGTAATTCCAGGAATCTATACTCTCTCGCCTGTTTTCAGTATGTGCATGCAAGAGCAAGTACACAAGCACCAAATTTAACAGGCAGTTGCAATGACAATGCTATTTATGGATGTACTAATCTATGAGTCAGAGTAACTCTTGAAGCTGTGATTGTCCAGAAATTATGCAAGAGGCAAGGATTTCTTAGGGTGATCCTCTTTTATTGGACCAACTGCATAGTTGGGATATAGAGTCAGACAAATTTTCAAATGAAAGGCATTCTTCTTCAGGTCTTAAGAGAAAAAAAGCAAGCACAGCGATAATAAAAAGACAGTTGGTACAGCTATGAAATGCAAGGGGAAGAGAAATTCCTACTGGTAGCAGAGGAATAGTAAGCAGAAGAAAAATAAGCTGATTACTGGGAGATCAAGGATTATCAAAAAGTAGGAGGATCATTACCACCTTTCCTGTGTGGGAAGAATTCAGAAATCAGGTAGGTTGTGTGCCATAGAACCAATATCAGTGTTAAGTTCTTGGTTCCTAGTGTCTAGCCAGCTTAAGAAATTTTCCCCCAAAGTTTGCCCTTTAAAGGTGCTGCATAGAGTCTCCTTGAGGTTAGTAAGGTCAGAGAGGGAGTGTGGTTGTTTCGTGAGAAATGTGCTCCTAATGTGTGTGCGTCTTTGTCCTTTACATTTTTCTGTGAGTGTATATGTTGGTGTTTAGTTTCACCCATGTAGTTGCCCTGAGGGCACCTGGTTCATTGGAGCAGATATATTACATTTTGGGAATGCCTGTGAAGAAAGATGGGTAAAATGGTATTGGACTGACATACCAAACATCATCCTAGGGAGGTCTAGAGCAAATCTTATCAAGAAAAGGTAAAGGAAGTTCCATTGTTTTGAGGGAAAGGCAAGATAAACATCTATAAAGTTTCCAGCTAGGTCTAATCTCAGAAGAATATGATGCAATGAGGACTCTAGGGGCATAAAACAGAGCAAGAAAGAGTTTTCTTTGCTAATACCAAATGAAGCTGGGTTGGAGCCAGCTAGCATAAGCCTTCACTGATCCCTGGGTTTAACTTTATTGTATGTACCTGACCAATGTTTAAGATAATCTTAGTGTGTGTCAGTTCAGGTCTTTACTAATTACTGTAACACTGCTATCTAATATCGAGTTAGCATTTTAGAGCATTCATCTAAGAGAATTATACACCTGCTATCAGCCTTTGGATTTAATAAGGGCATTTTAGCTGAATTGCTAGCATGTTCAATCAAATTTCAACAATAACACACCAAGGTAGTAAAGCAGCTATGAACTTTGCCTTCAATATTACTATTACACTAGCAAATCACCCGTCTAGAAAGAAGGGGGGGGGGGGAACGGACACGACGACAAACCCCCATGCCTGCCCCACATCCACACCTGCTCCCCACCCCGCGTTGGGCCCAAAGCCCCCCAACCGGGCCCGGACCTGCTCCTCCCTGCCCACCTTGTGTCGGGCCCAGGCCCCCTTCTCTCCTCCCCTCCCCTCCATGTCAGGCCTGGGGCCACTACTCCCTTCCCCCCTCCCCTGCTGCACTGGGTCCAGGGCTGCTCCCCCCTATCCGTCCCCACCGCTTGGGGTCTGGGCCCACTGCACCCACTGCTGCCTCCAAGGAGCAGGGTGGGTGCGAGGTCTGCGGCGCTGGCCTTGCCTCCCTGCTCCATCGCTGCTCTCTCTAGAAAGCAGGGCTGGGGACGCAAGGGTGAGGGGGTGCAAGGCCCCCCCCCCCCCCCCCCCCCCCCC